AAAGGTAAAATAATAATAATAATAAAGATAAAAAACCAGATTCCCAGAACTTCTGTGAAATCTAGGCTGGAAACAATTTTGATACAAATATTTGGTTAAGGACTGCCCAAATGGCTTGTACTGCTGATTATGAACTCTATCATGATGCTGTAGTTGCTCTAGATCATTGTGATCAGAAGGTAGTCAAGAATCTAAATCTCCAGATTTACCCTTCCTGTTGGCAAATCTAAATTTTTACAGTAATTACAAATAAAAGCTGCTCAGTTGAAATTTAATCCACCATCCACCACATTCCTTTTCTCTTGTGTTTCTTTTCCCTCTACCATTTCATTCTCTTGCCCTCAATGATTCACCCCTTTTATCTAGAAGAATCTTTATGTTCCTCCTCTTCTTTCAAACAGGGAACAGCCAGCATAAGACTGAGCTCTCCGTCTTGGGGATTCTCAGGAAAGATAGAAGCTTCAGAGAGGATCTATGGTATTGATGAACATAAAAACAGATCACGAAGAATCTCAAGGCTATAGTCCTTTTAAGGCTTCTGCTTCAAAAGATACTGCAGGAGTGGAGAAAAAAAAAAAAAAGTTGGGGTAAGTCCAGGCTTGGTGGCTCACACCTATTAATCCCAGGCCTTCGGGAGCCTGAAGCAGGAGGATCACATGAGGTCAAGAGTTTGAGACCAGCTTGGGCAACACAAGTAGAACCTGTCTTTACATTAAAAAAAAAGAAAATTAGCCAGGCATGTTGCCACACACACATAGTCCCAGCTACTCAGGAGGCTAAAGCGGGAGAATCCCTTAAACTCAGGAGTTCAAGGCTGCAGTGAGCTGATGGTGCCACTGCACTCTAGCCTAACGAGTGTGGCCCTATCTCAAAAAACAAAAAACAATCAAACAAAAATGGGGATATTATCTGAGTAGAACAACGGCTAATTTACCTTCATTATTCTTTACTGTAGTAATTTCACTAGTTTATATCCTAGATTGAAAATACTTATAAAATTTCTAGGATTTTCAGCTCATCAGAAACACAGTGATAAATAGTAAAACTACTCTAATTGAGCTCAAAAATATCAGCACTATAGACTCAGGTTACCTGTTTTTAGGCATACTAAGGAGTAAATTAACAAAATTAATTTGCAGTAAACTGACAAAATTCTATAGGACTTACTTAGATGACTGATAATGGATATATTATAAAATAGTTTTTCAGAAATATTTCCCCAGAGAACTCAAATAGTTGATATTTGTAATAAAAATAAGCAGAGTATCATTAAAAAGCATTACAGGGCCAGATGTGGTGGCCCATGCCTGTAATCCGATTGGGAGCCTGAGGCAGCCAGGTCATTTGAGCTCAGGAGTTCGAGACCAGCCTGGGCAACATGGCAAGAACCCTCTTCCCTAAAAAAATACAAAAATTAGCCAGACATGGTGGCGCACACCTGTAGTGCCAGCTACTTGCGAGGCTGAAGTGGAAGGATCACTTCAGCTCAGGAGGTTGAGGCTTCAATGAGTCAAGATCACGCCACTGCCCTCTAGCCTGGGCGACAGAGCCAGACCCTGTCTCCAAACAATCAAGCAAATGGCATTACAGTAATACTTATGAGTATTAAATGTTAACTTAGTGTTGTGATGTCAAAGCATATGCTCAGAGAACTAGGTGACAAAGTCTGATATTCATTCATTCATTTATTAGATTTTTAGGAAGTACTTACTCTGCCAGGCATAATCAGAGACAGAGCAGTGAATAGGTTAAAATCCCTGCCATCATGGAGTATTTTAGTGAATCAAGATAGATAATAAACAAGGAAAAAATAAGTAAAACATTATGTTGGTGGTAAGTACACAGCAAAATAGAAAGCAGGAAAAAAGATGGAGAGGGTGTAAAATAAAGAAGGAAGGAAGCAAACCATATGGTAGGGGGCAGGGGACACATTATGAAGAGAGGAAATAGCAAGAACAAAGACCCCAAGATAGGGAGATGGTTATTATGTTTAAGAAGCAGCAAGCAAGCCAGGGTCACTAAAGCATGACTAAGGAGAGTGGTAGATGAGGCTGGGAAATAAGGGGGAAGGACTAGGTCTTGCCCAGGAGCATCTGAGTAAGGCTTTCAAGCACAGGTATTAGAGCAATTGGTGGCAATGGAGGGGTGAGAGGTGATTCCAAGTAATTAGAACAAAGGTAAACAAAAGACAAGGAGCTATGAATGCCTTAAGGATGTTTAGAATCAGAAGCGGCCTAGTGTGCAATGAATATACAAGTAAGTGTGAGGAAGCAACACTGTGAAGGTAGAGGACCACGTGTTGAGGGGTGAAGGTAGGGTGTGATGAATATTCAGTTTCTGATCCTCAGTTTGGGAACTGCAGAAAGAGGCTAGGACAGGAAGGCAACAGGGTAAAAGGCAGACATTAGCTGCCCCTTAAATATAAGCTTTGTTTTCACCGGCATGAATAAAATCCTGCTCCAGACAGTCGCTTTAGTTACTATATCTACGAAGAAAAAGGGTGGAGGTCTTAAGATCTCTGTACGGAAAACACTCTTAAACTTTTATTGTAGTAGAGAGAAGAGAATATATACAACAAGTAGAATTTATACTATTGTAAATTAACATGAACTAAATTGAACTGGTCTAACACAATGAATCATAGACAAAGATGACTAAAAAACGAGATTAAGAAAGGAAACAGGAATTTCAATTTTCTAAAGAGCATTCCACAAAATGGCTAATCCCTGGATAAACAACTAAGTTAACTACCTCTCATTTTACATAAAGAAGAAAAGGATTGTTATAATCATTGAACATTTTGAGTTAAAGAGCTGGGACCTTACTCACAATTCAACACCCCAGTACCTCTATCAGTGCCTGGTACAGAAGACTCAAATTCTTGTTTAAGGAATAAAAAGCCTATCCATTACAGTTTATCGCAGGAGAATCAAACAGTGCTAGAGCTATAATACCGCCACCTTGAAATGTTAGTATTAATAGAGAGGAAATTAAACGCAAGTAAGTAGAAAGAGGGGAACCACCTGTGCAAAAGAACAACATAAGCCCAGAGGAATTTACTGCTTAATTACCCAAATGGCACAAAACCACTTAGGGGATATGCAGAACTGTTGTTTGGCACAATGGGATACATATCATGATCAAATCCAATAAACAACGCTGCTGCAAAAAAGCAAAGGAACTTGCCCTTAATACTCGTGGGTTGCACTAATGCTCCCTTTCTGGAACACAGAACAAAATGTATAAGGCAATGTCAATCTCTTTCCTCTGAATTCAAGAACTCAGCGGATTTGGGGAATCGGTTTGCTTCTCCACAACGTTTTTTAAAATTCTAAATTAGGAGTAACTCACCCTCATCGTTTGTCCCAAATAACACAAAAGAGCACAATACAAAGACAGCAGCTCATATCCACTCATGGTTATGGGATGTTATAAATCCCTGAAAGAAACCGCTAAAGTAAAACAAAACCCAGCGTGCTAACATCGTATTTCTATCGTCAACCAAAAACAACCGATGAAACTTCCACCAGGAAGAGCATCTTTTTATATCGGATAGTATTTGCATACATGTCACCAATATTAGTTTGCTTACAGTTAAAGATCAGAGACAGGGTTTCGTATGGCTTTTTTAGGTCAAGCTCATCCATTAAAACAAGTTTGTTTTTTTTTAAATGCAAATATCTAAATGTCAATACTCTTTCCTGTCTACTATCTTCATTTTTCCACGCTAACACTAGAGCATCCTTCGGTGTAATTCCATAAGCAGATTCAAACTCCCTTCAATACCATAAATAGGCCTTATTAAAAAGCCTTTAAACCACAAAAAAGTACAACAGCAGTTTGTAACTGTGTGGTTAGTTCTGCTTGTTGGTAGCGATTAGAACAAACTATGAGTCCAGGGTGCTCAGAACCGAGTAAAAGGGATTCCGGCCGCTTTCTCCCCAAGAGGCAACAATAAAAGCATCCGCCCCTCGCCCCAGTACTTCGCCCGAAAGTGGCTTCTATTCCCGGGACCCAGTCGACAGTAGGAAAAGGGCCTGGCCAGCCCCACTCACCTTGTAGACGTCCCCATAGGTGCCGCTGCCGACCCTCTGGACAAGCTCGTAATCCTGCTGCGGGTTCCGCCTCAGGATGTCCGCGGCAGGCCGCAGCGGGGCCTCCATCTTCGCTTACGGCCCGGCCCCCGCCGGCTCGGCCCGCGGCTCCCTGATTCCCGCTAACGAGCACGAACGACGCCGCTTCCCAACATGGAGCCTCCGCCCGCAGCTCTGCCTGCACGAAGGACGAGCAAAGGCGGGTCGGCGTCGCGGGATACGGCCCCGAGCGGCCCGTGCCCCCGCCCCTTCCCTTCGTTCCGCCAGGGGCCGTGGAAGAGAAACGGGCCTGAAAGGGCCCCCGGCGAGCAGTATCCTTGTTCGGGCTGCGGCCCTTCCCCCACCCCGGCCGCCCGCAAACTGCCTGGCCGGGCCTCCTCGCCTGCCGGGGCCCAGGGCCGGTTCCGTACCTGATGGGGGCGGCCCCGCTCTTTGTTGAGCGCGGAGTCCGGGACCTACTTCCTAGACCTCTCCGGCGTTCCCCTCCCCCGCGCCGACCGGCAGCTCCGGGTCTCCAGACGTCGCCGCCGCCACTCAGCCGCTGCACCGCGCGTTCTCTCGGAGGCGGCGGAGGCGCGTACGGTCGCCGCCGCCGCCGCACCACGTTCCCCACCCGGGGCTGCGTCACCGGGAGACACGTTCCCGGCCAGCATGGGTCGGCGCCCAGCGGCCCGCCCGAGCGCTCCGGCCGCGGGACCAGAGTGCCGCCCTGAGGCCTGCTGAGGACACGACACCCTCCCACCGCGCCACCGCGCCCCCCTAGCCGGGCGCGTCCTTGGAGGGCCTGGACTCTCTCCCTCCCACTCTCAGAAATAAGGGACCCGCCTGGGCATTCGTGGGCCGGCGTGTCTTGGCCAAACCGTCCGCACACTTGTCAGGTAGGCCTGGAGGGTGACGGGTAGAGGAAGAAGGGCAATGGGAACGCAGCCTCCAAGTTCCACACGGAAAAGGTACGTTAAGGGCACTGGGCCAGAAGTAACCTGGCAGCGGGGCGCCGGGGAAGGAGGTGGGGACTGCCAGGTTAACTAAGTCTCGGCACACCCTACTGCACCTTCCTGTTTTGCAAACCATTCCCGGTGGTACCAGTTTGAGGCTGCACTGCACACCTGCACAACCTGTCTTCTACTTAGTTCTTCTGAGACATTTCTGAAATCCTGAATTCCTAAAACTGCTCAATGGCCTTTGTCCCTGTTGGGTACCAGCAGAGTCTCACCGCGGGTATTGCACCTTTAATGAGATCAGGAGTTCCGCAAAAGTAAAACAAAGTCAGGGGGCAGAGACTGGTTCTGGTTCTACCACCTTCTCAGTGTGTGCTCTGGGACAAAACAGCATATTTGGCAACATCTCAATATCCTTATCTGCAGCTTGAAGAGCATAAGATTTTGCATCTGACACCCAAGAAAGTGTTTATAAAGCGTTTTACAGGCTTGTAAAGAGGGTTATCGAATATAAGAGGTTTTAAAGTACTTAACAGTGCACAGCATATATGGAACAGGAGTTCGGGGAAGTAATTTGGCTGATATTTCACAAGCTGTTTTGCAGTTTCAGTTCCAGTCTTGCTCTGAAGGTACAAAGTAAGTTGCCAGTGTTACCTTAAACTGGCTAAGTTATTTCCAGAGCCTCATAGAGATTTTGAACAGAAATGCCAGATGACACTAGCCACTGCATTTAGTGACTGAAACATCACAAAAGAGCAAGTTGGAGATGTTGGCATGTGGCTTTGAACATCCCATTTTTAATTCTGTTCTTGAGAAATATCCTCCTTATTGTTGATAATTGTATAATGTAGAAATTAATTCGCACCTTAACAGGACAGGGAATATATGTATTTTCTTGTGCTCCACACACAAAGGGCACTTATTTGGGGAAGATAAGTAAGCCCAGACTTACTTGCACCATGGACAAAGCCTATGTGTTTGCTGCATTGAAAAAATGTTGAAGAACAGTTCCTTCTTTCAAAGATTCTTGGCACTTGTTTTGGTGGGCACATACTTTTGGCTTCGATGACTCAAAATCTCTTCAAATGTTCTATTGGTATCTTAGTACTTGTTTACTGTCATAGATTCATTTGGGATTTTTTTCCTCTTGCCCTATAAGTATTTATCCTTTATCTAGTCTGAAATATATTTATTCTTACATGTTTATACTTGGATTACTCAAGAGAATTTCAGGCAGCCTGCAGAAAACACTATGAAACGAGATAAAAATAAGTGGGCAAACCAGTATGAAGTTTAAGAGAAGGAAAACACAAAACCAGAACAATGCAACAAATTGGCCAAGCAGAGGAATTTTTTCTTTTTCTTTTATTTTCTTTCTTTCTTTCTTTCTTTTTTTTTTTGAGATAGAGTTTTGCTCTTGTTGCCCAGGCTGGAGTGCAATAGCCTGATCTCGGCTCACCACAACCTCTGCCTCACATGTTCAAGCGATTCTCCTGCCTCAGCCTCCTGAGTAGCTGGGGTTGGAGGCATGTGCCACTATGCCTGACTAATTTTGTATTTTTAATAGAGACAGGGTTTCTCCATGTTGGTCAGGCTGGTCTCGAACTCCTCACCTCAGGTGATCTGCCCCCACCTTGGCCTCCCAAAGTACTAGGATTACAAACGTGAGCCATGCGCCTGGCCCAAGCAGAGGATTTTACAGTGTTTTGAATAACCAGTGAAGAATAACCAACTGATCAAGAAAGAGGCACGTATTTTCCTCATGTGAAGACTTCAAAAAATTTATTTAATGAGACTTCTTCATAAAGTAGAAATGGAATGCCCACTTTGAGACAAGGATAAATATCCTGACAAACCTTTAAGCATGTTATTCTTGAAATACAGCATTTAAATTGAAGTAGGCAATAAAATGTTTGAGGTCATAGGTTTCAACAAGACCCTGGAGTACAGATATTTTATGTTGCAAATAATGGCAGATCCATATGCTTTGAACATCAACCTAGAGGCAGATAGCATGGAAAAAGTCAAGATTTTATGTGGTGGTTCAAAAATGTGTCTGCTATAATCATTATTTTACTTGTACCACAATTCATGCAAAGAGGAAAACATTTGTTTTATACTAACTCCAAAAGAATCTTAAGGATTTTAAAAATACTGGTTGAGTCAGCTGGGCGTAGTAGCTCAGCCTGTAATCCCAGCACTTTGGGAGGCTGAGGGGAGTGGATCACGAGATCAGGAGTTTGAGACCAATGTGGCCGATATGGTGAAACCCTGTCTCTACTAAAAATACAAAATTTAGCTGGGTTTGGTAGTGCATGCCTGTAATCCCAGCTACTAGGGAGGCTGAGGCGGGAGAATCGCTTGACCCCGGGAGGCAGAGGGTGCAGTGAGATTGCAGCATTGCACTCCAGCTTGGGCAACAGAGTGTGACTCTGTCTCCAAAAAAAAAAAAAAAAAAAAAAAAAAAAAAAAAAAAAAAAAAAAAAAAAAAAAAAAAATACTGGTTAAGTTTAACAAGATCAGTGAAGTAGTTTGCTTTGTAAAAAAATTCAAATTCAATTTACTTTAAGTACATATATACTGAGTGAATTTAATTTTACATCCTGAACAATTAAGCAAATAATTTCAAGGTTGAAGTTGATATAATAATATGTTACTTATGTCATGGTAACTAACCAGAGAATTTCTTACAAACCACCCAATTTCATATTACAAAGTATGGAATAAGAATAAATATGGCTTGACAGGTCCTTCTTTCCAACCTAATTGTCATGCATTCTTAGTGTCTTCATTCTATCTGACACGTAAATATTTTTCAGCTTTTACTCTATCAGTATAACAAACTGTAATGGTTTGCCACATGCTTTGTAACGTACTTCCCTTCTTTCAAAGTTCTTCGGTGAAATGCTAACTGTAATCTGTGGTCTCTAGTTTCAGCTCTAACTTCAGCCAAAGCAGAATAAAAAAGAATTGGGGGCCATAAAATGCTTTATCTTATATAAGGTTAAGGTTCACAATTTATTATCCAAGACAGAATGGCTAATTAAACCTTCAAGTGTGATAGGACAGAGCATAAGGACAATGACTTTAGTCTACTGAACATACAGGTTTAAGCAATATAATAATCTCCTGCTTAATCTGCCAACATAAGCTAGTTTCAACATGTAACTCTGTGATCAGTTGACTGCTCTATAGATCTGTTAAACAGAAATAAATGTTGGAAGACATTGTCACAATTATGATTTGGATTTTTAAATACTTGTTATTAAACCATTGTGTTATTAATTAGGGCCACTTGTTTGTTGAGGCATACACCATATTTTCTGAATATAGGGCAATTCTAATATATTTTGTTCTGGATGGCATTAGAACATGTAGCTCATTCAGGATCAGTATCAGGTTATTATGATGAGAGTTTTAAAAAGAAGAGGTGAGAGACCAGCATGGTGACTCACACCTGTAATCCTAGCACTTTGGGAGGCTGAGGTGGGCGGGTCACAAGGTGAGGAGTTTGAGACCAGCCTGGACAATATGGTGAAACCCTATCTCTACTAAACATACAAAAATTAGCCAGGTGTGGTGGTAGGCACCTGTAGTCCCAGCTACTTGGGAGCCTGAGGCCGGAGAATTGCTTGAACCTGGGAGGCAGAGGTTGCAGTGAGCCGAGATCGTGCCATTGCACTCCAGCCTGGGCAACGAGCAAAACTCCATCTCAAAAAAAAAAAACAAAAAAAGTGGTGAGGAAGGCAGTGGATATCCCTTTCATCCAGTTTGAATTGATCATCAGGTATGTTACTGAAGTGGTTTGGCTGTGTCCCAATTCAAGATGTCCAAATGTCATCTTGAATTCCCACATGTTGTGGGAGGGACCTGGTAGGAGGTAATTGAATCATGAAAGCAAGTCTTTCCCATGCTGTTCTCATGACAGTGAGTATGTCTCATGAGACCTGGTGGTTTTAGAAAGAGGAGTTCCCCTACACAAGCTCTCTCTGTTTGCCTGCTGTCATGCATGTAAGATGTGACTTGCTCTTCTTGCCTTCTGCCATGATTGTGAAGCTTCCCAGCCACATGGAACTGTAAGTCCAGTTAAACCTCTTTCTTTTGTAAATTGCCAGGTCTCAGGTTTGTCTTTTTCAGCAGCATGAATACAGACTAATACATTAAATTAGTACCAGTAGAGGGAGGTGTTGCTGAAAAGTTACCCAAAAATGTGGAAGCGACTTTGGAACCAGGTAACAGGCAGAGGTTGGAATAGTTTAGAGGGCTCAGAAGAAAACAGGAAAATGTGGGAAAATTTGGAACTTCCTAGAGACTTGTTGAATGGCTTTGGCAAAAATGCTGATAGTGACATAACAATAAGGTCCAGGCTGAGGTGGTCTCAGATGGAAATGAGGAACTTGTTGAAACTGGAACAAAGATGACTCTTGTGTTTTGGCAAAGACACTGGTGGCATTTTGCCCCTGCCCTAGAGATTTGTGGAACTTTGAACTTGAGAGGGATGATTTAGGGTATCTGGCGGAAGAAATTTCTAAGCAGCAAAGCATTCAAGAGGTAACTTGGGTGCTGTTAAAAGCATTCCGTTTTATAAGAGAAGCAGAACATAAAAGTTTGGAAACCAGGCTGGATGTGGTGGCTCATACCTGTAGTCCCAGCACTTTGGGAGGCCAAGGCAGGCAAATCACAAGGTCAGGAGATCAAGACCATCTGGGCCTACATGGTGAAGCCCTGTCTCTACTAAAAATACAAAAAAAAAAAATAGCTGGACATGGCGGCCCATGGGCCTGTAGTCCCAGCTACTGGGGAGGCTGAGGCAGGAGAATTGCTTGAACACAGGAGGTGGAGATTGCAGTGAGCTGAGATTGCGCCACTGCACTACAGCCTGGGTGACAGTGCGAGACTCTGTCTCAAAAAAAAAAAAAAGTTTGGAAACTTTGCAGCCTGATAATACAATGGAAAAGAAAATCCCATTTTCTGAGGAAAAATTCAAGCAGGCTGCAGAAATTTGCATAAGTAACAAAGAGCTGGATGTTATCCCCAGACAATGGGGAAAATGCCTCCAGGGCATGTCAGAGGTCTTCACAGCAGACCCTCATCACAGGCCTGGAGGCCTAGAAGGAAAAAGTGGTTTCGTTG